ACCACGAAACTGTGGGCCGACGTCCTCCTCGCTGCACTCCTACGCTCCTTGCGCGAGGCGCTGACATAGGGCCACCTGAACCATGTCGGCATCGGGGCTCCGTATGTAGCCAGTTTTGGCTGAAGTAATTACAGCCATGAGTTCGGGCCTGGTGGCCTCGGCGTAGGTGCGTTGCTGGGCGGGCCTCTCAACCTTTTGCCGCTTGTGCTCGCCTCTAGGAGATATGGTCTCGTCAAGGCGGGCACGTTTGGCAATGGTCGAGGACCTCTGCCTGCTCTCTACCGGTTTGCTGTTGGAAGGGGGGGGGGGGCCTTCCAGTGGGGTGCGCGACCGACCCATTTGACCGTGCTGATGCAGTCCCTGGGCCACTCGCGCCACCCACTGGGGGCCTCGCCTCTCCCTCCTTCGGCAGGGGGTTGTGTGAAGTGCGTCGCTCGCGTTCTCTACGACGGCCTTTCTTGTTTTTGCGAGCAGGGCGTCCCTTGCTCCCACTGGGGGCCGGAGGTGGGCGCTCGCCGTGGCCACTAGTCCCTTCCTTGCGGATGGGTGCATCCTTGCGGAAGGCCACGGCCTTGGATTTGGGCTGGCGACTCACCAAGGTCCACCCTGCTTCAAGGGCCGCGTATGATGGGTTTTGAGCGGGGGCCGCAGAACCTGGGGTTTGGGCCACAACCGCTGGTGTGGTGCTAGCACCAGCATCGGTGCTCGGCTGACCTTGGGGTTTCCCCTTTGGCCTACCACTCACCGTAGGGCGCTGTGTGTTTGTAAGGGCGACCACCCTTTGATGCCTCCTCAGCAGCGATTTCGTCGCCGCTGATAAGGCCCCACTCCAAATGGGAGCCCCGTATAAGGCCATACTTCGGGTCACCCCATATAGCCTTCTGCATGGGGCTCCCGACCTCCCGAGATTGGGCAGGAGCCGACTCCACGCCGATGCGGCGCCCACTATTCGGGGAGCAAGTTGCTGATGATGATGAGATATGAGCGCCTGCCGGCACCGCCCACCACTGCCCCTCCCGCCGAAGACGGATGTGGCCAACGGTTAACTGGCAATCGGTACTATCTCAATTTTGTTAACTTTACAGGTGAAAAAAAAATAATTTTTGCGTCATTTATATGACACATACCTTGGATGAAGGATATGTTCCTTTATTTATTTCCATCCTCTAAGAGGATATGTGATTTAATGAAGCCAATGTACAGACAGGCGGCAAGGATTGATTTTTAATTTCAATATTTTGGCTAGGTTCCTGTCTAAAGACTTGTAGAGCTTCCTGTGTCTATGAAAGCCTCAGCTTTATATCCGTTGATTGTCGAAGACATAGTCGATTTTCTTAGACTGCTAGGTGATGCAGCGGAGATAGTAGAAAAACGCGTCAACACGCTGAGTGTCTTATTCAGTTACTGCGTTCGCTCTTTGTGGCAGTCCGGATCTGCACACATTAGTGAAATGGCCCTTTTTTGAACAAATTTGGCAGTTTTCATTGAGAGCAGGACATTTGATACGTTGGTGAACATTTCCGCCAAAATATCATCGTCGTCTCTGATTTGGGCGAATAGTTGGGGTGGTGGCTGCTATATTACTTTCAAGTTCAGGTAATGCGTTGAGGTTTATTGGAGGAGTGCTTGTGTTACTGAAAATTTGCGCATTATTTTCCGCATCTTCAAGAGAAATCCCTGTGTTGGCTGCTTCATCCAAACTGAAACTTAATTTTTCTAATAATCTATCTCTAATTTTCTGCGAATTTATACATGCTATAAACGCACCTCGCACTGACTTATTCCGATGTTCTTCTACAGTCACTTCCTTAAAGTGACACTCGAGTTTGATCTATTGTATAAAACTCTTTTTACAATGGAGAACGATTATTGAATCACATTGTTGTTAAAGTTATTATTAAACTATAGGAACATATATTGATAAAATAAAACGTTTCAAAACTTGCACATAACAAAATATTATTACGATAAAAATAAGCAAATTCTGTAAGTACTACAAATCCTGAAGGTGGGACAAGGTACGGTTCACGGAATGAGAGTTTGTTAAACTGTTTGACTATTGCAAGAGTTTGAGAAGCTTTAAAGCTTGTATCCTAGCACAGTTTCATCAGCTCTTTGTTTACGTGGCCAACTTAAATGTCTAGCAATTATTATTTCGTTATTTAGTTTTATGTAAATATTTTCAAGTTTTGATAGCGCCGTCGTCTTGTTTGAGTATATATAAGAAAATATTGTTGGAGACAGGAGATTTACTACCAGTTTCAGTTTCATTGAGCCGGTACTATCCGCAACGCATTCTTCAGATAAGAAATTTTCGAATGTTAAGCGCGAATTCAACCACATCAGATTCCAAATGGGCACATTGCCATTTGGAATCTGATGTGGTTGAATTCGGTACTTCCTCGAATTGCTTGGGGCGGAGGTAACGTGCCATAACCTTTTTAGTTTTACTTCCAGTCGTTATTTTAGTGTTAGTCATGTTATAATTAAAACTGAATAAATTGATACACATTGAAAGACAAACCATCAGAAAACTTGGCTTTATTCAGCTTTAAAATCGTACAACATAATAACAATCCATGGCATCCATCCATGGGAGTCTACCATTCACAATACAAAATAATTCAAAAAGTTAAGTTACCTCCGGAGTCCTCTATATAATTACTTACGTATATAAAACTAATAGCAGTTCGATCGAGACATCATAACAAAGAGGACCAAATTTTTATAAACACAGAAGTTTCAAAACTACTTAAACACCATCATCATTGAACCCAGTGCCTCAACTTGGCGAGCACAAGTCTTAATCGTAGGTCCTCCCATCTGACCCAGTTTCTAATGGTAGTGCACCGACCCCCAGCAACTAGCTTGTTTTACTGCCCACTGACGTGGACGAGGTTGCAAGATTCATTGTGAATCTTAAAGATGATAGCGCTGTGGGTCTGTATCAGGTGTCAAACAGGTTTTTGAAGAGATATATGCAAATTATCGCTACACCAATGTCACACATCTGCAACTTAGCTCTCTCAACGGCGTCTTCCTTCGGGTATTCAAGACTGCGCTCATAAAGCCTATTCATAAGTGTGGCGACAGAAGCTGTGCCAATAATTTTAGACCCATCTCCATTCTTCCAGCAATGTCTAAAATCCTTGAACGGATTATGAACAAAAGGCTTATCGGTTACTTAGAATCTCACAACCTAATATCACCTTCTCAATTTGGTTTCCGTACAAGATTATCCACTAATGATGCCGTTCACGAACTAGTCGATTCTATAGTGACCAACCTTGATAATAAAAGAAAATGTCTTACCATATTTCTCGACTTAGCAAAAGCCTTTGACACAGTTTCTGTACCCCATCTCATTCGTAGGTTCGAGGAGCTGGGGGTGAGGGGAATTCCTCTTGATCTTTTCAGGGATTACTTGACTGACCGGAAACAGTGTGTTGGGATCGACCATTGGCTGAGCGATGAACTCCCCGTCACCTACGGCGTCCCTCAAGGTAGTATTGTTGGGCCTACCTTGTTCTTGGTCTTTATTAACACCCTGTGCAACCTTAAACTTCCCTATATCAGGATTCTGACCTTCGCTGATGATACGGCGCTTTTCGTCAGTGGACGGAGGTGGAGTGGAGTGAGGTCTTTGACTCTGCGCAGAATGGTCTCAACGTCGTGTGTGTCTGGCTGCAGAATCTGTTAACCCTCCATGTTTTAAAAATCAAATATATGGCTTTTGCACTTAGATCCCATCTTCTGCTGCCGTTGGATTTAACTCTCAGGGTGCATACATCTTGTAACCTTAATTACCTAGAGTGCCCTTGTCCTCATATTATAAGAACTGAATCAATTCGATACCTAGGCATTATCATAGATCATTCGCTTACTCTCAAACCCCATATAGACTCTGTAGTACCTCGTCTCCGCAAGCTTATCTACATTTTCAGGACGTTACGGGATGTGGCTGACCGGAAAACTCTGACCACTGTCTACATTGCCATTTGACAATCAGTTTTAGGGTATTGTATAACGTCATGGGGTGGAGCCTCCAAAACTCATCTTATTGAACTGGAGCGGGCTCAACGCGCTATTTTGAAGGTGGGAGCTGGTCTTCTCTACCGTTACCCAACTAGCGATCTCTATAAGTTATGGGATGTGCTTACTATTAGACAACTATTAGTATGTAACATCGTCCTCAAAAAGCACTCCCTACTTGCATTTGATCCTAATATCACCAAGGATAAACGTAGAAAGGGTACGGTCTGCCAATCCCATTCTGTTAATACAGGTTTTTCTCAACATTTCTTCTGTTTCCTCGCTCCCTACTTGTACAACAAATTAAACACTAAGCTTTCTTTTTACGCTCTCCCAAAATCTCTTTGCAAAAAAACTGTACCCGATTCAGATCTTCAGAGAGAGATTAAGATCCAAAATTATGATGAAACTGAGCAATTTCTTCTTATCCTCAAATAAAACATCTTTCATTTAACTGTTCCCAAGTCGTGGTCCTCTCGCCTCAACACATTCGCACACTATACATTCCATACAACCCAAACGTACAATTCTTAAACACCTAATCAGTAACACATGCACCTTATAAACACTCACTCATTCATTCTCACACTTTTCATATCGTGAGTTTACTTAGTGTTGAGAGGGTTTTTAAATAGTTAGTTTAGTTCACTAGTACTTTTATTATAAATTAGGAATATTTCACTAACTTTTATAAATTCTATACTTTGTCACAACTTCAGTGCCACAACCACGTTGCTCAACTGCAAAGTGCAACTCTGGTGACCCGTAATTCAGGTTTTTCTATACCTATTTCGGGCACCAGTCTCTCACAAAACAGCGTGACTAATTGTTAGTCTTGTATTAACCTTAAGTTCCCTACTCTAAAGCCTGTTTTGTGATTGAGAAATAAAACATCATTCCATTTCATTTAATTTCATTTCATGTCATTGTGATAACAAAAGAATCAATTACAAAATATGTACAATAGGCACATCGGTCGAGCCTTTGTTTATTTAATACGAATGAATGATGTATACAACAGAAAGGTTCATAGCGTAATTTTATTACAAGTTATTTTTGTTACATCACTTAGATATTTAAGTAAAAAGTAGTGCATCGACTACAGTTAGTTGTAAACAATATAAGCAAGACAGTTTTAACCTACTATTCTATCGTTAGTTCTTCTATCTTTGGGATCCAAAGGAAAGTGTACTGGAGTGCCGTCACCTATTCTTTCCGCTAAAGAATTGATCATTTCTGGAGTCGCTTCTCGTAGACCGTACGCCCAACCTATTCTGACGAAGAATCTAATGAAAAAGGTTCCGAAGTTCAGGAAATCGAAATGCTCAGCAGCCTTGTAATCGAAGGGAAACGCGTGGTGATAGTTGTGCCAGCCTTCTCCCAAGGTGCATGTTGCCACAAAACGATTTTCCGCTGGCATTATGGTCCTAGGAAAACAGTTTTTAAATTATTTTTCCGAGAAATGATAAGGCACACGAACTATATTCGTAATATGTATATTAAAGTTATAACATCCGAAGATAGTCAAGATTTATCTCAGTTCAAAACAAGTTTTTCCAACTATTTATCTGGTTTGAGAATTCAAAATACAAATTCGTAGGATTTAAATATTTTTATAAAACTTTTTAGTCAATATAAAGTTGTTTATTTACTTGTTGTAAGGCTTATATCCAAACGCGTGTGCAAGGCTGTTGACGGTCAACTCGCTATGGAAAGCACTTAAGTAGCGGATGAAGCACTGCCAAGCAACTGCACACTTCCAATTCTCTCCCCATAGCCAGATACCGGTCATGGTCGGTAGGATATAACAGAATATTAGTTTGAAGTAATTAAAGTGTCTGAAAACATAAAAATATATTTGAAGAACCAATCCCACCTAATTCATGAAAAAGGCGAAATGTTCAGAACAACAAATAAGTAGAGCCGTCTGCTTTGTTAATAAAAAAGTCCTTAAAACATTCATACAGTTATATATTACAAAATAATGATAATGTTAAAATCTACTGTAGCTTACGAATCTTAGGTAAGTTGGTAGATGCCATTGATATTTTGTTCGTTATTTATTTATTATTTATTTATAATTTTGTTCGTTATTTTTGTCGTTTTTGACGTCCTCAAGGACTGTCGTATAGAGGTAGCTTGGGTGAAATGGCGGCAATGGCGCCTCCTCGCTTCACACCTTTCTAAATAGGTACAGGTTTCATCAGGTGTATGATAATGAGTGTGGCCGTATAATAAAGCTCTCGGAGCTCTTTTACGTAACGAAAACCAATGTGACAGGGACAGAGTGCGGTATGAAATACGACCGTGTCAATTAGCTTTTTTTTTAATCAACGGAGTCATAACAAGGTAGCCTGTGTGACGGGTTAGGATTTGTTGAGCTCGCGGGTAAGTCTGATCGTTCATATTTTGGCAACAAGCTTGTATATTTATGAGAGAAAACTAATAGGGCGGTAGATAGCTAGTTTGGACCACAGATATTTGAAATTTCTTATTTGTTCATCGTTCATGCGTAAATGATAGTGTTGATGACATTTTCCCGCTGTGTGAACACCTACACAGTGGGAAAATACCTTTCAATAGCTTCGCACTAAACTTAACAGAAAGATCGATTCTTACAAGTTCTTGTGTAACCTCTCAACGACAAATTCTAACTTAAATCGGTCTTAATTTCTCAAATGATGCTCTTTGTAATAAACTTACTTATTATAGAATTTCAACACAGGATCGCTTTCAATGTCGCTCATGTCGATCAGCTTTCCGGCTTGTTTAACTTGGTCGTTCTTTTTCAACATCAACCACCCGATGTGTGAAAAGAACAGTCCTCGGTTTGCGTTGTGTGGGTCGGCGTCTGTGTCACTGTATTTGTGGTGTATGCGGTGGTCTCTTACCCATTGATATAGAGAGTTCTGTGCAAAATAAATAAGATTTTTTTCACGATACTTTTGGGAGTGATTTGACTAACAACTTTTACTAATCGGGACAGCTTATTTGGTTTTTCGTTACATGAACAAATGACAGTGTAAAAATTTTACATGTTATTGATTTTAATCGAGTAGTGACCCGTTAGAACCACATTTTACTTTTCAAGAAAACATTTGGTAGTCATGACTACAATGAAAATGGATTTCCAAAACTGCTTGTAATTTTCTATCACACGAGTGTACGATGGGATATACAATTATCTTTCTTTTTGCCTTTTCTTTTAAGCGTTGTTACATTTCAAGTAGCTAACGAGTGTTGATAGTTAGTAAGTTCGAACTATAAGAATTTACATTTCGCAAACATCAAAATTACCTGGCCAGCGCTAGAAAAGCACATGAGAAGAAATAACTGCAAAGGTCTTTTCGCTTTATAGGCTCTATGTGTCCAAAGTCGATGGGCCCCACCAGTGACTCCGAAACCACTTCCTATGTACATTATTGCCGCTGAAAGAAGATAGATACATTTGAAACGAGCACTTATAAGATTTATTTTGAGAGATTCTTATAAATCAAGCAGGCGTTTGAAAAATAAGAAATTTATAGTAACTACTGACCATTAAATATTACAGAAATAGTTACGGAGATTCTAAGAATATTATTTACCTAGAACTTCGATAATACCTAGGTAATTGCTAAATCAGCAATATATACTTCCACCGGATGAATTCTCGGTAAGACTGTATATCGTAGCCGAACTTATATTGTGTTAGTGCAGAATGATACAAAGAGAACAATAGCACAGTGTAATAAGACAAGTATGGTAATTCCATACAAACGTAGCCGCGCGCCTTGTGCTTACGCGTACATTCACATAAGCTCGTGATGCACTCGACTCGCGCTGCATAACGCGGGTCGTCACACGAGTCGTAAATTACACAAGGGAACAAAATAATATTTTTTTTATGTTGCATGAAGTTTTGTAGTTGTTATTTACTAATTCGAGGTTGCTGATTTGATATTTTCCCTCATTTTTTTGCATCACCTCTAGTTTTTAAGGTACAGCTATTAGCTTGAAAGATTCCCCTCACGTAGCCTGTAGAGCTAAAACGACAGGGCTAGAGGTGGGTGATAAATAACGTCACAATGAAAAAATCACGATGATCCGCCGTCAAACAGTATCACTGTGACTCGTTCCGAAGGAACGACGCACGTTCCGAAGTCACATAGGTGTTCCTCCGTTCCCGTCACTCACATCACGACATACGTATTTGATACAATGCGCGATCTCCGTTTCGTGGTTACTGAGCGCGCTACTCGTTGTAGTTCTCTTCAAATCGGGCCATTTCGGCGATGGGAGTGAATGAAATAGGATGATTTTCTTTGCTCACTCACAAGGGTCGTAGAACTCTTAGATGCTTATTACTACTAGAAAAGGCCGATGAAAAAAATCTGCAGCAGTTATTATAAACCTATTTATGAACAAAGTAAAATGTTTTTGTATATTTGTTTTATTATAGAAAGAGTTGGTATTTTATATTTATGTATAATCTACTTTGTGTAGTCTACTAGAAGTATAATTACATTACACTTTATTGCTATTTTTAACAATCCAAAGATTCGCATTAAATAAGTAACAAACAAAATACAAAATCAACTTTTTGAATGGAATTGAAACTTATTACAAAGGGAGTAAAAACTTAAATCATTAAATTTTTAATTAATCAAAAAACGGCTATAAGTATTAGAAAGAAGCCGCTGGCTAAAACCGTATATCGTGATGTAAGTTATAGGCGTGACAAGGTCACGGAAGTAACAGTCGTGACAAAATCACGATGATTTATCACTGTGATTTTTTTGGAACCGGAACGACAGTCACGGCGATAGAAATGTAACGCTATTCCCCATGTCTACACAGGGCGCGACTTGCGCGAGAGCGACTTAAGGCGCGAGATACTGCTATTCTCGCATAGAGACCTCGCACTTTATGGCGCACTCGCGCAAGTTGCGTCCTGTTAGGTATGCTAGCTCTACTGAAATGCGTACTTATGCATAACGTCAATAACCTGGGTTAATTGCCGATTGCACATTCAACTAAAGCCAAAGAAGAATGTACTACTGTAGCTTCTGGGTAGTAGTAGTAGTTGTTTTTAAAATGTTTTCTGTTACTAAAATATTTTTTTCTTGAAAATCGCGTTTTCCTCATATATCAAAAACTAAATCTGATACAAAAAAATCTGAAACCAGTACCCCAATTATGTATACTATTCATAGGTCTACTACTATTAGTCATAATATTTTATGCAACAAAGATGCTGTTCCCTTGCGTTATAGAATTGGAGCGGCACTCGGTGTTTAAAAAACGCCTTCAAAGAGTAAGTGTTTATTGTTGTGTTTGTGGTAGTTTGAACAATGGTGTATAAATTCAGATTTGTTCAGCATTTCACTTCTATTTCATACTCATACTTCATAATCAAGATTCCAATCCATTCCGCGATGCTGGAGTAGAAGTATCAATATACATAAGTACCTACTGCATAAACAAAGGTTATTTCTATATAGCATGAGATTACCGTGATAAACAACTAAAATAATAATGTAACAACCCTATGCTCTGAGCGAAAAGCAGTGCGAATGGCCTTCGTGGTCGAACGGTTACTATGCTAGTCTGCCACGAGGTCCCGGGTTCGATTCTTGGGCCGGGAGAAATATTTGAATAGTCCACATTTATTTCTCTCGTGAGTATGGGTGTAATTTGTAGTTAAAAGTTAAAAGGTACCAATGTTCCCACGACGATGTGAACAATGCTATATCTAAAGTAGTTGATTGGTTTGCTGTTAATAACCTACTTCTTAATGAGAAAAAAACAAATTGTGTGAAATTTACATTACCCAATGTTAGAGAGACGGTTACAAACATTGTAGTTAGAAACGAAAAATTGTATCTTGTGGATACAGTTGTATTTCTAGGTATAACGTTAGATGCTAAATTGCAATGGGGTCCCCATATAAGTAAGTTATCAAAACGGCTCGGCTCTGCAGCGTACGCGATTAAAAAATAAGGAAACATTCAGACGTCGAAACCGCTAGATTGGTTTACTTCAGCTACTTTCACAGTCTAACGACATACGGCATTTTGCTTTGGGGTAATGCCGCCGATATCAATAGAATCTTTGTCCTGCAGAAACGTGCAGTTAGGGCAATTTACAATCTGGGCCCCAAAGTATCTTTGAGAGATAAGTTTAAGGAAATTAACATTCTTACACTAGCCTCACAGTACATTTATGAAAAGGTAATTTATGTTAAAAGGCATAGTAATTTCTTTATGAAAAATAGTGACAGACATAACATTAATACGATGAATAAAAATAAACTAGCTTTTCTTGATAGTCGTCTTTACAAAGTCAAAAAATCATGTAAGGGGCAATGTATACGCTTCTATAACAAGATTCCGGTTGATATACAAAATTTGCCTTTCACGAGGTTTAAAACTATAGTGAAACAAAAACTTTATACTAAAGGTTATTATACAACTTCTGCGTACTTGGATGACAAAAATCCGTGGTAGTAACCCGTTTAGCTCATGGAGGTAGTCTCGATCTCTGATGTTTCAAACAAAAAAAATATTGTAAATGTTATTTACAAAGAGCAACCCCTAGAGTTTCTTGCTCATTCTTCGCAGGGGAATCTGCCTTACGAATGAGCGGTAGAGTTTAACCATTGTGAAGATTTCAAGTTTAATAATGCTTACCTGTGAAATAAAGATTATTTTGAATTTGCATTTGAATTTTGGTAGTCTATGGCACCCACGACAGGGTTTCCCTAGCACGGGGCTATGATAATTGATATTATTTGCGCACCATACTGATGGGAGTTGACAATAGCCTTAGAATTCAAATATACTTTATAAAACTTTGTTTGCCAATAGATGAATCGAGTAAAGTTATATTTTTGGGTTACGTAACTTTTTTATAAGCTAGCTGTGCTTTGGTTTTATGTTTTTCTTGCTTTTGCTAGTTGTAATTGCAAAAAAGGTTCAATTTGCAACATGAAAATTATAGTTCTAATTTGAAAATTAACGGTTCAGTCACAATATATCATTCACACAAATAGGAAAATATTTTTTCTAGAAGGAATCAATGTTTCACTAGAAAGATATTCGTTAAAAATCGACTACCTACCTACATATTAAATTTTCTTTGTGTACTCACCAAATATCAATGTTTGCCATTTCGCTGGGAAGGCATAATGGTAGCACCAGTAAACTCCAATAATATGGTAGAGAGTGATCAATATAAAATTATTCCACTTTATATCATTTCTAATTCCTAAACTATTTTCAAACGCTCTAATCATTTCAGTAAAAGATCGTTTCTTTCTGTTTTCTTTTTTTTCCATATTTTACACGTGTTTTTACTGAAGTTGTTACCAAGTCTAATGTTAGTGAGAATTTGAATTCGTTTTGGGTACTGCTGTTCAAATGACCCTTTACCAATAGGTTAATGTGTGACATAATTTATCGGTCTATTTTGAAACAATTCAATTCAATCAATTTACTTTCAGTTAGGGATAAGTCACTGGATAGCTATCTATAACACTATAAAACCACGGGTATTTATTATAGAATAGAATTGTTACCACCGTCTTACTAAGCAACATATTGTATTTGATATAGACATGCTATTGTAGGGTAAAATACTCCATTCTAATACACACTTAGTTTCTGAAAGACTTTCCGTGAAATAATGGAAAACGTAAACAGTAGGTACATATTTATATCAGAGTTGTTGCTGGTCAAGGTTTTTACACATCAACGGATACGAACGCTGATTTTTTAAGCTAAGCATCAGCAGATGCTCATGAGGATGCTGATTTTATCTATTCAAATAAAATCGTGAATAATGTACAGATCCTTCTTGCATTTACATAAAATAATATTTTATGCAATCGCGGAAAGCAAAATCTTACGGAAAATTCTGGGACCGCCTCAAAGGGAGGATGGGAGCTGGAGGGCAAGGAAGAATCTTGAGATTGAACATCTAATGTCAGGGCCCAATATTGTGGGAGAAACGAAAGCTGCGAGATTCTGCTGGCTCGGACACGTAGAGAGAATGAGAGATCGTGTCGCGAAGACGGCTTATTTGGGACAACCGAAAGGACGTCGACCAGTCGGACGTCTCAGATACCGCTGGAGCGATGAAGTCCTGAAAGATCTCAAGGACCTCGGTGCTAGTGGTTGGAAGGAGCAGGCTCAGAACCAGTAGGAGTGGCAGAATCTGGTGTCGGAGGCCAAGACCCTCTTTGGGTCGCTGCGCAACCGAAGTAAGTAAGTACGTATGCAATCGTTGCATATTGAGGGTTCTTAAAGTCGGGTACTGTGCCGAGTGGCCTAAGTAATAGGTACGAGATTTTAAGATCTAATTATGTAATAATTGCATACAATAATTTCTCTACGAGGACAACTAGCATTTAACGCTTATTTTGTTAATAATCCATGACAACAAGGTCAATCGAAAGCCAAATAAACGCTACAAAACAAAAAATAAACCAAAGAGGTAGAATAGAAGTGTTTCGTGATTGGCCAATTACCGTTTATATTTTATTCTAAGTTTCAATCAATCAAATAGCAGTAGTACGTGTGAGTTGCGTCATATTTAATATTCTAGATTCAAATTTTTATTCAAATATTATATAAAATAATAATAATATTATTTTATTCAAATATTGAATAAAATAATTCGAGTTTTAATAATTTCACAAACATAGTGACGTTATTCTCTGTTCAGGAACACTGTGACGCGTTAAGGAGACTCATTTAGTTAGCAAAAATACGACGTTATTTTTGATTGGCAATGAATGAATTTTTCAGTTCAGTTGCGAGTACCATAGACAACAGAATATTGATTCTGAATTAAAAAGAGCAGCTCTGTTTTTGAAAAAAAAAAAAAAAGGTTTTTGCACCTTAGTTGACAGAAAGAAAGAACATGAGTAGAAAAAAGTTTCTTCAATGATTTTGATTTTTTAAATGATTTGGTGAGATTTACAAGAAAATCAACCGGCATAAAAACAATCAATCTACCTTAATCATACTGGAATGTTATAAAAGATAAGAACGACTGTTTCTATCTGGTTATGAAAATTATTTCTGTATGCTTTAACTTCCGGCCCTTTTATAGCTTAGCGACACTACTGTTCTAAATAGCCGATACTTACCTGAAATAGTTAGATTTTTTATTAATAAAGCTTTTATTTCTTTAATGGAAAATATCGCACTTTTGGTGTAATAAGGCCGTATTTAACTAACAAATTAAAGTAGAAAAAAAACAACTTTTCAGGAGAGAAGCTTGAAGATTTAAGTACGAAATTAGTCGATTACTTTTTATGATTAAATAGGAGTTACTCACTTTCTTATATACATACTTTTGTTTTATGTAGTTCGTATTACGAGTATTTATACGATTTTTAAGTGATAAAACGTACATGTCGCTTTATTTATTATAACAATGGTACGATGTATTATTTTAAGGTGTTGAGTTATAATAATAAGCCAGAGTCTCTTCTACGAAAAGGGTATTAGTACTAAATGCCAATGTTCATCAATGCAAGTTGGAAATATTTTTATTACAAAATGTGTAGAACCCTCAATCGAAATATGTGCAGCAATAATATGTATGTAATAGTAAACGTACGTACAATAGTATGCTTTACATATTAAGTCTTGCATGTTGTTTGGCTAGTAATTACCATTACATTAACGTAATGTATGTAGTTAATATGTAATTAACCTTTAACATGTTATTACATTATCATTCAGCATAATATTACGTCATATGTTTTTCGTGACAATTTTAGTTTAAACAATACTGTTACCAACTAGATGAGTGCTACAAATAAACTTTAAATGTATAGTAAACACGTTTAATCTTGAAGTTGTACAGAGAAAATGAATTTATGAAGATTTAACATAAACGAGAGCGCGCGCATCTTACTCGGCGTCGCTTGGCGGTCTTGCCGCACCGCGCCCGCGCCTCCTCTCCCTCCGTGACGTGTCGCGAGCGTTGACATCCACCCCACCCTTGGAAGGACATGCAGCATCTTCCAAGACTCCAGGAGTTTCCGTGGTGGTAGGTAGAAGACAGACTTTGTTAACGGCTCGACGCTCGGTGCCTCGAAAAGTCAGAAAATCAGCAACTCGAACTATTCCATCATTGCCTGGATGAAGCTGTTGAACTCGACCAAGTCTCCATTTAAGTGGTGGTAGGTTTGGTTCTTTGAAGACCACCAGATCTCCTTCCTTAAGATCTGTCTGTCTGGAATGCCATTTTGTTCGCTGTTGTAATTCGGCCAGATATTCTGTTCTCTATCTTTCCCAGAAATGACACCGGAGTTGTTCAACTAATTGGTATCTTGTGCGTATTTTCATGTCAGCTTTTTGTGAGCTTGGTAGTGATGTCAGTGGACGTCCGATTAAGAAGTGCCCTGGGGTCAAAGGAGAGAAATCGTTTGGATCGGGTGATAATGGAGTTAAGGAACGGGAGTTAAGAATCGCTTCAATTTGAGTAAAGAGAGTGCTCAACTCCTCGTAAGTAAGACTAACATTTCCCACTATACGTTTCAGATGAAATTTGGCACTCTTAACACCGGCTTCCCAAAGCCCTCCGAATGTTGGTGAATAACGAGGATTAAAAATAAACTTTATGCCCCTATTAGTCGTGAAATCAGTTATACTATTTAAGTCCGATCGCAATACCTTACTTAACTCATTGTTCGCCCCAACGTAATTTTTTCCATTGTCACAGTAAATGCAGTCTGCTTTGCCTCTTCTAGCGATAAACCTCATGAGGCAAGAAATGAAGGCTTGAGTCGTGAGATCGCTGACCGTTTCAAGCTTTTGTTAAGAAGCATATAAATATGCACAAATAACATTTCGTTGTCCTACTGCCACGACCCTTTTTGCTGGCAATCATAAACGGGCCAGCGAAATCGGTTCCCGTGATTTGAAAGGTATATGATGTAGACACCCTAGTCTTGGGTAGATTACCCGTTAATGGTTCTATAGGTTTGCCCTTCATTTTGACACATGTAACGCACTTTCGCACAATGCTTCTAGCGAGTGTTCTGCCACCAATGAGCTGAGAAGCAATTGAGGACCTGCATGAAACAATCTAAGGTGCTCGGTTTGCATCATAATTTTTGTAAGATGATGATCGGACTGCAGTAAAATGGGATGCTTTGTATCATATTGAAGATCAGCGTTTTTGAATCGACCGCCTACTCGCAACCACAGATAATACAATACTATACTAGTACAGATACTCAATCTCATACAAGAAAAAGTCGCACTCATAACTCCGCTTATTCGGACGCTTATTTTGATTCTGATCGGTGATCAATAGATGGTGCCACGTAAACCCACGATGCGATTATAATAATATTTGAGAATGCCAACAGGTGGCACCTGTTATATTTTTTGTTAAGGTTATTGCACTTGTGGCGAGGCCATGACGTTTGAATAGATCGCACCGTTCGTCGCGTCCACAGTGATCGGAATTGAGGGAGATAATAATTTGCCTAAAGTATTGAATGTTTTCTTAGTATGGACATACCCATTTCGTCATCAACGCGTTTAAAATTTATTTTTTTACCACTTATTTTCTAAACTTTCCAAAATATATAATAAACTCATTTTTATTTTTAAAATGGCTAAAGTATAAGTACCTATAATAAAAACACAACTACAATACTATTTTTCGAGACAATCATTTGTGGCAACAAATATTTACTTCTTAGGAAATAATAGTTTGTCATCAATGTTGTACCAACTCAATTTCAATAAATAATACGCCTATTCAATATAGGGGAGGATTACTTTTACCTATTGTGTTATCTGTGCTTTTACCTTAACACCAAAGACGACATATGTAGGTACTCCGTGATAATCTGATAATACAATAATAATTATTGTAATAAGATCATAAAGAAGCCGTGTCTGTACATTTCACATTTTTATGTAAAAGTCAGTACTTACTGAAGACACGCTACATAACTTATAATATATTTTTTTATAATTTGTCGGTGCATTTGCACATGCTTAATCTCCATGATGGCTGAACCAATTTAGATGTGGTTTTCGGTGACGCTTCATTTAAAAGTCTTCGGTATAGCAACACATGTATTACTTACTTTTAAAAACAAAATAATGTCAGCAATAAGAAGCAGCAAAATATCCTATCAATACAATATTAAAAGTACGGGAAGTCCCCACATACATAATAGTCGAGGGGAAGCCCTTTGTATATAGCAGTGTTGGGCAAAATTTGATTGTTCTGGCAATTAAAGATTGACAATTAATTAATTGTCAATTGCGAAACAGCAATTAACGATTGATCAA